GTTAAGGAACTCGGGGGGGAGGGACCCCCCCCCCCCCCCCCCCCCCCCCGCATAGGGTTTTCCAGCAAAAGAAGCACGCGGCGCGCAGTACTCCTCAGTTTCGCCAGTAGGTCTTGTGCACCAGACAGAATAGGTTCATCAATGTGTCACCGGTTTGAGTGGTTCTGCCCTAATTCTGCTGAGATCCTTGCTCGCGTCCTCCACCTCGTCGACTTCCCCGATCACAGCGCTGCGTGCAAAGCAAGAGACGCAGCGTGCAACAAGTTTTGTTGGTGAATTGTTTGTCAATAGCGCAACCGCAGGCCAAGACGAACAGATGCAGGACCACGGGACCTTGTACCCATCAAAAATAAATCACAGCCGTTGAACGATTCACGACGACAAGATTTTTGGGTTAAGCTTTGCCACACCCTGGAACACAAATGCATGGTTACGTGTGTCTGTTTCAAATGGCATAGCCGGAACAACTTGGGGCAAAACGTTGCAATAGCTCCATGGCATGTACTTGTGTTTCCCACGTGCCGGTCGCCGTTTCCAGGGTACCAGCGTGCGGTAGGCCAAGCGACGGACTCACATGTTGTCTCCCCTGCAGATATACAGACCTAGTTGAACCTGCGGGTAAACGCAAGGTTGAGGCGGCAACGAATGGTGTTGGAGGTTCAGTTGGCAACCAAGAGGAGGCACACAAAAATCAACCCTTACATTCGATGATAGGGAGGTGCAAGCCTGAATTTCCCTTCTGCTGGGAGATCTGATCACGGGGGAGGCAGCGTGCAGTTATCGCTGGTACTCATTCCCACGTGGACCATAGAACTTCCACACACCCGTGTTGAGTTTACAGGTAATCTAGGAGGGAAATTCACGTTACCCCGCAATGAGCAAAGAACGTAATGCTATAAAGCAAGTGTTCAGGGTGTGTGCCAGCTAGTATTCGGCATGCTTCGACTAGGCATAGCGCAGCTAATATCTTCCGGCGACAACAACAACAGGATCCCCCGTTTTCCCGTCACACTACTTGAACAACCATGCTGCTGTAAGTGCCTGTCTCCCTCGCCTGTTCGACCCCTCGTGATTGAGAGTAGATCCGCTCCTTGCATCCTTCCAGAACAAGGTTGATGGTGTGATCGTAGCCCTTCAAGTTTCCCTGATAAAAGACAAGCACATGGCGAGAGATTGGTGCAAAGCGTTTAAGTAAGCCTTCTCGAAGAGGTAGCAGGCACCCGCGGTGCGTACGAACAAGGAGCATGCTTGGTACTATACTACCGTTGGCACAGGACAGGAGGAGGCTCCATGCAAGTTCTCGGTTAGATACACGCGCGAATTTGAAAATGAACTCCGATTTTGCGCCAAGTGCACTGCTACATGCTGCAGTCTAAACAGCTCACCAAGATTTGTCGGCCATCTCCTGTGATGACGGACACGAGCTCTGGCACAAGGAAGTGCGGCCAGCATTGATGTTACGCCCCGCGTCGGCATTACATGTAGGCACACAGCAGTCATGCATACGGCGGCGGAGGGTGTGTGTGTGTGGGAGAAGGCCGGGTTGGCTAAAGGAATACTTGCGTCTCAGGGGCATCACATCATAAACAAGCACGTCCACTCTTATCTGTCGTCTAGACTATGGTAGAACCAAGCCAAAACAACTGCACGCCCCTTGGGATTGTTCCTTGTGCAGTAATCGCGTTGCACACAAAGCTGCTGTGCACCTGTCACGAGAGCAAGTACACGGCACTTACTGCCTTGTAGCTCTTGGATGGATGCCGCCATTTAGCTTGCCAGCTTCGACAAACCCTGAATATTTATGCCCCTGGTTTTCCAGCACTGACGATTTCCCACTTGATCGCTCTCGCGGTTCGAGAGATGGCTAGGGACGTTTGCTGAGTTGATGCGACGATGGACGTGCAGTACGGAGTGGAGTAAAACACCAGTGCAGTGCAGTGTGTGCAGCGCGGGCAACAAACACGGGCAACAAACACCACCCAGGGTACCGCAAAGTGGCTGAAACACTGAATGGGTATGTGTGAGGTTTTACCATCTGCGAGTTCCCGCACGTGCTGGCTCTCTGTCTCTCTGTTCGTACTCTCTACCGCAACCTCACTCACACAGCAATAGCTACACATGGCGGCCAGAGGGGGGCAAATCCTGCTGCAGTTGGCGCTGCTATTTTCGAGCCTGATATCTGCCGTATGGGCTTCTGGTAAGCCTGAGTTATTGTATCACCACCACAGGCACTGGGTGTTGTACGGCTGCCTGTGTATGCTACTGCTGTGTACTCCACTATCTGTGCATCTGATAACTCCAGCTGTGCGAACTGGACTAATGTTGTCAGGAGGCTTCCAAGTCTCGCGTATGGTGGCGTTGGTACCCGATAGACGTAATTTACGTTGTACCCAAGTATCTTGCAATTACTTCTGGAGCTGGAAGCAATTGTCGCATTACAGCAGTAAACACCGATAAAGCCGGCACCAACATCGATTCTGGGTGTTGTGCAGTCGGTATCCTCGTGTAGTACAAGCAGATAACCTTCTTGACGCTCTGCACATATGGATTACTTCACACTGCAGCAGAACGAATAGTGGTGCGAAGAATGGCGGCGTAGGAACCGTGTCGTCCAGAGCTTCCGAAAGGTATCATTTGATTTTGGCATCCTCCTCGTTGTTGAGTGCAGTATTGAGCTTTTGAACAAACGGTCCAGGGGAGGTGGTATCTTGCGTAACCTGGCATCGTTCCTCGTGTGTGTGTTATCCCGGCCGTTTGTGTTGATTTTGTTTTTGTTGTTTCCGTCTTCACAGTAACAAACGTTCCGGTCTCTGCCCAATACAGTCCCATTTGACACCCGTACCGGTTCAACTGACGCAGACGCGTTCCGTGGTCAGAGGACAAGTACAACAAAAATCACACTTCGTAACCACTGGCTCGTGCGTCCAGAACGTATGCTGTAGGCTAACATACACCCACAACTCTTGCACCTACGCATTGTAGCCAACCTGCTGGGGGCAACGGTCAAACAATGGTACGCGCTTTGCTTTTGCGCCTCAAGCTGATGTGCCCTGGCATAAGATAGGGTATCGAGTTCTTGTCTCGAAAATTGTTTGAAGTAGACGATTTTGGCCGTGACACCAGGGAGGGTATATTTTATATTTTTTCGGGGCTGCTCAGCTCCCGCCTGCACGCTCGGCTGCCGCCATTAATACTGTACCCGCTACAGGCCGAAATTCTGGGTTATTCGCCCGAGCACGTGACCGCGTGAATAAGGGCCCGGACGATCAATTTGTTCAATTGCGGGTTGGAACAACTGCTGTCCTGTCGTACATGACCCGTGTAGAACCTTGACCCCACCACCTCAACCCTGACCCCATTTGCTATGTACAATAGGCAGATGTCGATCACGTCGTCGCAAGAGTAGGCCGCGACATCGCACCGGCGGGATTGCCTTCCAGACTTCTGTGCCCGTTGTGTACTACTGTGTATGCTGCATTGTCAAAGTTTTCTCGGCGACCAATTGTTTCAATCGTTTCTTGTCGGCCGGGTGCCGTGTTGTGGCCGAAAGCATCAGGGTACAGCAAATAATGTTGAAAATCAAAGGCTCCGGGCCTGCTGAGACTGTGTAGTCACGAACAGTTCCGTAATGTTTTATCCGGTGCTAGATTGCTTGGTGTGTTCCTTTGAGCTAACGTCAGATCTGCTGAAAAGGTCCTCAATATAGTATTAGGCTGATGGCGCAAGTAGTCTATCTGCTCAAGTGACCTGTGCTATGGCGATTGCAGCAGTGGGCCGCAAGGTCACAGAAGCGTGCGTGTGCGACACTTTGTTGACAGGTGTGCGGAGGTGCACTGTAGGCGTGAGTTTATAACCTTACTGAATGGAGTTTGGTTCAAAGAGAAATAAGAAAATACGTTGTACAAGTCTGTTGTATTGTTGAGCTGGGCAGGAAACAGCATGAGCTCCGGTGGGGGGCGTGCCTCTGCCTGGCCAGCCTGTTTGTCGAGTACCTACGAAATTACGAAGAACCTCAGTACCAGTCCGGAACCGTCCCGAGAACCTTTCTAATCTTATTTTGGAATTTTCCTGACAACGATCCTGAGAACCGTTGTAGGAAAATATGCTCGATCTAGGAAACATGCGAACCGTTGCGGAATCTACCGCATCTATCAGCGGATCGTTCTAGCTACCTTTCCTACACTTGTTCTTCAAGTTGAAATTTCTCCTTCAGTAGCTTATCATATCGCGTTTTGTGTGCCGCATCGCGTATACTGACGCCGGTGTTGTTTTGTAGTACGAAATCGCTCATGATGTATGTGACATCGTATACTGTGTGTATTCATGAGAATACTTGTAACAACAGTCCCAGTTGATACTGATATTTTACAGGATATTGCCCTGTTTATACTGTTTCCCTCTTCCCTGACCCCGTCCCCACTCCAATCAAACGCCCTCAGACATGAACACCTTGATGGGGGTAAAAGGTCGCGACTTCGTGCTGCTAGGGGGCGACAGCGCCTTCTTTCGGTCGGTGGTCATCATGGACACAGTAAGCTACGGTGTTCTCGAGCCCTTTCTCTTGTCGAAATGACACCGCACACATGCGCCGATAGGTCTGTAAACCGGCGCCAGAATAGATGGGGACGAACACACACACACACACAGCTTCTATCTCTGTGCCTTGCGATGATATGGCAGTAGGCTGACTGCGGAGACATGCATGTCACCCTCTTTGTGTTCACCCTGGTGCTCGTGAGTGCTCGTGATCACACGGGTGGCTCGAGCCGGAGGCTTGTAAACATCATTCGCTATGTACCCGTTGCACCAGACGGCAACTCTCACGTCCCGTTCAAGTGATGACTACCGGCGCCCGAATCAAAGCAACACGTGGAGCAGCGGTGACGATGCACTGGCCGGTGATTGCCCGCAGTCAAGCAGGACAGACAGTGCTTGTCGTCTAGGCTAAACATTCATGATTTCTTTCCGCCGTGTCCCCAGGAGTATCGAAAAGTGGTGGAGCTGTCGGACAACGTGCTGGTTGCGGCGTCCGGTGACCAGGGTGATGTTGAGATGTTCGTGGAGTGGCTCAAGGTAACAAGAATTGTGTCCCCACAACCAGCAGTTCCGCACACACGATACCAATGTGCATGTGTTCGAATTTCAGGTGATGTCATCGGCGACCCAAAGGGAAGGGTCGGGTGAAGCGCCGGACCGGTCTCTTAAGCTGGCTATTGGTTTGAAGTAAAAATTTAACAGCCCCATCAGCGGTCGAATAGTCTAACTGTAGGACTCGAAGACGCTGCTGCCGTGGCTGAGTGTTGCCACCGGTTTCAATATGAGAGTCGGCCCCGGAGAGATGTCCTCGCTGTCGCTTTCGTGGTACATGTTCCATTCCATAGCGCTCATGGCGCGGAAGTAGTACCGGCAGTCAAAGACAACCTTTGGCTTTGGAGTTTTGACGACGACCAGTCAGTACGTGCGTCGTGTGGGCCACCTCGTTCTTGTCTTGCCCTGGCCCAACCGCGCTTGCCGAACCCCTCCCTCTCTTACTGCGCGTGCGCATCGTCAGCGAAATGCACAGCTGATGCAGCTTGAGTCCTCGCGACCGGTGGGCGCGCGAACGTTAGCGCACTTCGCGAGGCGGAACCTAGCCGACAAGCTGCGAAAACAAGGGGCGGGGCAGGCAGTGACTGCGCTTCTCGGCGGGTGGAACGAGGTGCGCGTGCTTGCTGAAAATGGCAAATATATATTATTTGTAAATATACAACACAAACGCAGAAAGAATACCCGTTCGAGATATGCACATAACCACAGCAATCGAAGGGGATGTGTTGGAGTCTTTGCAGTGAGTGGAGGGAAAACGGCTGGGCACTGGGCTCATTTCGAGTTATTTAAGCCTGTACACTGAATTTTTGTCAGTGATGCCAACAGGTGCTAATCACAAAATATATACGGAGTACAATGCAGAGTCTGGTGTTTTCGATGGGCGCAGGATGTTTGTGTGTGTGTGTATTTTCGCGGTGTGTCGTGAATGGCGGAGCACGTGACGTTCTACCGCAAGCTCGCCTGCTTATATATTCCGACTCACACATTTCCATCCACTTTTTTCTTTACCCGCGCCTTTGCCTCTGATGGCGCAGCGCAAAAGGCCCGCCACACCTATCTAGATAACAAACCGTATTTTCGCTACTAAGCAGCGTTCACCGATTGGATGTCTGAGCATGGCAGGACCTCGAATGCACCCACCGCACTTGTCAGTACACG